TGATGTAGATGGGCATTCAACTGGGAATGCACCACTCTTTCTACGACTTTACTCGATACTGGCAACACAGAGATAGGCCGATAGTTCTCAACTTGCAGTTTATCATTAGCCTTGTATAAAAGAATAACACGTGCAACTTTCCACAGATCAGGGACAATACCATCGCTAATTGATTTGTTCACAAGATAGGTGATTGACGGAGCAAGCTCCGCCTCAGAATCTTTTAGCAGCCTTGCTGGAATTCTGTCAAGTCCAGCTGCCTTATTAACTTTCAAAGAATGCAAAATGCTTTGAACAGTGTTCTGTTCAACCCGTTGAAAGTCCAAGGTGGATTTGATATTACTCTGCTTGTTTGCTTCTTTCACTGTTTCATATTTCTTCCATGCGTCCTTACTTACAGGGCGCAATCGACCAGCAACTTTGCTGCCAATGGCAGCAAAAAACTTGTTGAATTTTGTTGCTACGCTTTTTGGCTCCGATACAAAATTCGTTTCCCGCCATGTACTTGAAAAGGAGAGCCCCCCTGGTTATTAGAACCAATCACGGAGTTTAGCGAGCGCCACATGTCCTTAGGATTCTCAGCTGACTCAATTAGATTTTTTAGTGCAATGCCTCCGCTGATTTTATCTTTCTGTTCGTAAAGTTTTTCAATTTACGATACTCATTCCACTGATCTGGAAGAGAGGGTAAATAAAAGTCGACGAAAACTGAATCAGTCATTCAATCAATACCCTGAGTGTCTGAATTTAAGAATCAAGTTCTAAGATAATTTGAATATTTAGTAATTTTTCCTATTGTCAACAATGAGATGTAGCTATTTTAAAATAAGATATTTGATATCAAAGTTTAAGTGTAGCATTTCTAAGATTAAAATTCAATTTATTTAGAATTTTGATTGCCCAAAAATCGAGGTGTACTGTGGTTCGAAGTTCTTTCTTTATATTTGCGAAGCTTAACGACATGTTAATTGTATTGGCGAAGCTTACCGAAAAGTTAATTCCATAATACTCTAAATTCATAATAAGTCCATAGAATGGAAAGAATATTTAGAGCCGCAAATAGCCTATAAAATATCACTCAAAATACCAGCGCAAAAACAAATTACAAAGCAAGGCTTATTGTGTAAAAATAATATATGAGTAAACAGGACAGACAGGTTTCTGAAATAAAGATATTCCCTCTTTGATGGTGGACAAATGATTCGAGCGCACTTTGCATCAGCATCTTTCGATTCCAAGTACTGCAAGTGAGGGAAACAGGAAATCGCGATTAGCTTTAACCTGTTATTTGCCAGTTTGTCTTAGTTTTTAATAACATTTATAAGTTACCGTTATTCGATGTCGCACGTCATTTTTGCTTCAGTTTGAGTTGGTTGATAGTGGAGATGTTTATTATGACCTCTTAGAGTATAAATAACTAAATTATAGGTCTGGCCAGCGAAGAATAATAGAGCAATAACAAAAAATATATGGCAAAGGAAAAATTGATTGTATTAACCAACAAGCATGTAATGGCAAAATAATGGCAAAACTAATCATGTGCAATGCATAAAGCGTATTTATAGATTAAGTTCTTAAACCTGTTGGTCGAAGTGCCACGAATATCTGAAATTTGTTCTATTGTTCTTAATGCCTAAGTATATTGAGTATCTACTATGTGACTATTAAGTAGCCTGTACACAGAGTTATCTGGTTTAAGACTGGTAATAAAGCTGGAACACCGCAGCGCCTGAGCGACGTGAGCGGGCACAGTCTTCGGTTGGCCCTCTTCACCATTAAGTCACAGTGTATCGCCTAACTCAGATCTTCAGTTAGGGAAACCCTGGGCAGCGTGAAGGAACTGACATGCTCGGGACAACTGGCGGACTTTGATAACTATTAAGGTGGAGAACGTCAACCGACATCACCGTGCATTTCGCTGGATTCAGTTGCGTGTTATTATAGCACAGGCAAACTCTTAGACGTCAGACACTATGAAGCTAAGTAATGAGGGGGCATTTCTAGGGATAATCTCAATAGCTGTAAAGTAGACAACATATTTTTCTCGGGGTTACAAGTCATTCAGAAGGTCATCAACCATAATAGCGAATGTATAAAATCGCTGACATTTTTGTCCCCTAGAGGATGCCTTCGTTAAATTTCAATACTGACGATGACGAGGAGGGCAACTTGACAGTTTGTGTCCTGCCTTCCAAGAATGACACAATCCAGCGCTGATAGCAGGGCTGTATGTCGAGAGCAGATATTTTCAATCATCACCCGGAGGTCTATGAGATCGAATCCCTTTCCTAAATCAACCGAAAACCAGCGCACCCACGAGTTGCCTCGGTCTAGAGCTTCCAATACAATGTGCAGTAGGTACACCAAAGCATGCTGGGTTGACTTCCCAGAGACAGCAAACTGCTTGGGGTTTAGTGCGATGTACTACCTGGCAGGACTGTTGAGAGCGTGAACCTTTTCATTATCTTTGTTATGTGGCAGGTGGGCGATATCGGCCTCAGTTCGTTTTCGATTGACTGTGGAGGCCTCTGTTTAGGTAAAGGACGAAGAATTACCCTCTTCAGGAGACTGGGCACGAATCCCTCTCTCATTAATGTGTCATACAAGTCTGCAATAACGGGGCTGAGCTCGAAAATAAAGGTCTCCAATATGCGGTTTGAGATCCCATCTAGCCCGCGTGCTTTGTTACACTTTAAAGCACGAATTTCCCTGTACGCTTCGTATGATGAAACTAGTGATTCGGGAGGTATATCAGGGACATCAATCATTAGGAGTGATTGGCGTAAAGCCCGATGTTAGTGCGGCAAAGAACGCTTTGATCTTAAAGAACAGATCGTGCTAATTGCTTGGCCATTTATGAGTTGCTTGTGCCAGGCCCCTTCCCGTGAAGAGACCCCTGAAAGCCCTTTGATCTCGTTCAACCGTCCTTTTACGTTTCTCATGATTTTGATATTCGATTTGTAGACGGAGCATTTGCAAGCACTAACAGCGCTTGCAACTGCATGGCATTATGTCTTAAAGACCTGAGAGTCCTTGCAAAACTTTGCCAGGGCTTTTTACCGCTTCGTGATGAATTCCTTGACCTTATTTGTTATTCACGGTATGTCAGCCGGTAAACTTCTGGCGGCTTTGAAGGGACAGAACATGTCTAACGCGTCAGTGATAGTACGATGGAGAATGTCAAATTTAGCTTGGCAAGAAGGCGCAATGAAAAAATCATCCCATGCGTGCAATGTGATCGAACTTCCAAATTAAACCTCTCTCAACTTTCTGGGTCTGGTGTCCTGCCTTAAGATGGTTGTTTAAAGGGCTTCTGTGAAGATTGTTATGCCAGCTGTTTCACTACGATAGTGGTCGCTACTACCGATTTTAGGGAGCTGCACAGGGCTTGAAAGTAGGCGAGGCCTATTTGTCAAGTACCAATCAAAAGTGCCAGAGTTTTGTGCTAATACCTTGACCGTCTGGGTCAATCCACATGTCTTTTATCAGCACCCGGAGGTGAGAAATTTGTCGAAGTTGGGTCGAAATCGCCAGTAATTTAAATAAGCCTATCTGGATGTTTTGTTGATAAACTGGTCTACGGTCATTTAAATGCGGTTGTAAAGGGTTGCATTGTCATCACTGGTTGTATTGGGAGGAGGGTGGGGGGGGGTTGATATATCACACCAACAAGAATGAATGACACTGGTCTGAGCAACCGGAAGAGTCTTAACTGAACCCTAGTTGCCACTTAAAAGAATCAAAGAAACCTATCTATAATGATTCTTTGAAAATAGGTGAAGCCTCTGAAGGGGTCTCAATGGGGAGATGACTTTTACAGCTAAGGGTTAAACGTCTAACAGATAACAACTAATATCATTGCATTGTTGTCACCAGAATTTTCTTCAACGATTAACATTTTTGACGACTATCGGTTAAACAATTTTTACGCCGAACCGGTAAT